TTATTTGTTGAAACTGTACTTTCGATTTGATTTGAAACTGTCTCATTGCTATATGTTTATCAATAAAACTTTGAAAAGAAAAAAAAAAGATACATTGTGATGACCTGGCAGCCAGAAGACTTTAGAATCTCTTCAGAAAGTGGCAAGAACAATGAGATAATTATGTTCAACATGAAGGGAAATTAATTAATTAATGGCAGAGTGTCCTTTAACACAAGAAATATTAAAAATTAAAATTAAACATTTGCCATATTTTTATCAATTTCTTTTTAAGTGGCTGCTTTCATGCTAACATGGCAGAGCTGAGACCTGTGACCCTAAAATATGGACAACATGGTCCTTTACAGAAATGTGATACAATTTACATTGGCCAAAGCCAATGAAAGAGGTGTTGTTAGCCAGTAAGTAGAAAGGGGGACAAAGATTAGTGGCTCTCCACTCTGAACACATTTGGAGTCAACTAAAAAGAAGTTCTAAAACAACAAAGCTCTCAATGGTTCAGCCCAATCAATTAAATTGAAATATGACCAGTCTGAGCATCCATGGAACCAAGCTCAATAAAATGTAGCTAATTGTGTAGTTCAGATAAAAAGAGATAAATTTCAGATAAATTTCTTTTGGTGTGAACTTGCCTCAAATATTTAATAGGTCAGAGGAATTAGTGACCCCCCCAATTAGATCTGGGGCCGAACAGGGGCGGAGCTGAGTGGGTGGGTGGAGTCAAGAGGTGGGAGGGGCCAAGAAAGGTGGAGCCAAGCAGTGGGCGGGGGACAAGCGGTGGATGGGGCAAGAGGTGGGCGGGACTGAGAAGGGGCGAAGCCAAGCAGCAGGCGGGGCCGTGAAGGAGCGGGCTAAAAGATGGGCGAGACCAAGGCGGGGGCGTGGTTAGGAAATGGGCGGGGCCCGAGAAGGGCGGGGCCAGGCGGATGGGGCCAAGAGGTGGGCGGGGCTGAGATGGGGTGGGATCAAGTGGTGGGTGGAGCCAGGCTATAGGAGGGGCCAAGAAGGGGCGGGGCTGAGCACATAGGTGTAGGCGGAGTCACCTCACAGAGGCTCCCCTAACTCTGATTCTATCTTCCTCTCTACAAAGCACCACTGAGCCTCTTCCCTGGACCTCCTTTCTGGCTGGGGCAAGGACTGACCAGTCCCAGAGAGCCCAACAGCTGGGCACCCAGCAAGAGACCCACAGGGGCGACCTGCAGAAAAGTAACCTACTGTGCCTACTTCCAGTGACACTGCCACCCTGTTGCCAGCAGCCTTACAGCGGGGTGTCAATCTCTGTGGATGCCCCCCAACCCCTGCTGAACTCAGCACTCACGGCATCTGGAGGGACTCCGGGCCGCGGAGCCAGGGTCCACTTCTTCCAGGTAGAGGAAGGTGGCCAAGCGGTCAAAGGACACCCGGGCCTGAGAAGCCAGAGCCTCAGGTCACCACACGAAGAGCAAAGAGTTCAGCCTTTGAGCTGTGTGACCGAGCTTCCTGCCTGCCCAACTCAGTGTGTGTGTAAGCGTGGAGGCCGAGCTCAGGGCAGCGTTCCCCAAGCTCTGCTCATGATGTGGGTGGGGGTGGGGGTCTTCCACCTGCTTGCTTTTAGTGAGAGAAACTGAAACCACCAAAACTCCTCAAGCTGCCAAGTGGAATAATTTCAAATTTTGACCACCTGGGGGCGCCATCTCAGCTCCCTGCCACAAACCTATTTTTGAGGACTCAAGGGGGAACTATTCAAATATAGGGGGCTCGGTTCTGCACTGTTTCTCGTTTTCACCATGGAAAGGACAAATGACTGTAAGGCAGATGAGGAAAGTGGCACTGTGTAACAAAGGGAACTGAACGGGGACAGTGGCACACATTCTGTACTCCCCCCACTCAGGAGGCTGAGGCAGGAAAATTGCAAGTTTGAGGGCACCCTGGACTACGTAGCAAGATTCTATGTTAAAATAAAAAGGAAAGGGCTGGGAATATAGCTCACTGGTATAGGGCCCTTGGATTTGAGATCCGGAGCCACAACATAAATAAAGGAATCGGGATGAATTCTGGCACATGGAAACTCCATAAGCCCTGAGGAAGCTGCTGAGGTCCCTGGCCCCTGCGCCTCACCTGGACGACACAGTGGATGCAGAAGGGAAGGAAGGCCTGGGCCTTGTTGAGAATGCTGAGCACCGTGAGGGTCACGAAGGCCTTCTCTGCATCCATCGCGTTCTCCTCAGCCACCAGAGTGTGAACGGCAAACACGACCAGCGCAACCTGGAGAGAGACGCATGGGTGAGAAGGGCGCCCTGGGCAGCCCGCACGTTGAGGGGCCCTCCAGGACTCTGCCTCTCCAAGCCACGACGCTGGCCCTAGTTCCCAACCCCCAGAGCCCGTTGTCTGCAGGCGGACCACAGGGACATCACCAGAAACGTAGACACTTGGAAGGACACCAAGGACGCAGAGAAAAGGAGGGTGGAGGTCCTCAGGGCGCCCAGCTCCTGGCCCCGGATGCGCAGGACCCTCTCCAGAAAGGCTTCCTCCCAGCCATGGGACTTGATGGTGCTCATGGTCCTGAGGATGGAGCCGGTGAGCCGCGCCCGGGAGTCCTTCTGCCTCATCTGCTCTTCCTGGGACCGGGCGGAAGCAGCGAGAGGGGGAAAGTGGAGAGTATCTGGTCCCTGGCACGCTGAACCCTCTACAAAGCCTGTTGGCTCTGCACCACGTGCCAAGCCCACCCGCTGCTTGGCATACCCTTCCCAGGCCTGCCCCACTCTGCTCCTCTGGCACAGGGCCCCCATGCTTGTGTTCCCCTTCCCCCAGAGGAAGTCCCGAGGGCCAGGAACAGAGGCAGGGCCTTCGGCCAGCCTGGGGGTGCAGGTAATGACTGAGTTTCAGGTTGAAGGAGAGGAACCCAGCACTGAGCAGCAGGGAAGGGTGGATGGTGGAGTAGGCAAGAGGCGCGAGGCAACCCGGCCCAGGTGAGGGGGTGAGTTAGTGTGATGTCCGAGTGTGTGGGATTCAGTGGTGGGGGCCTTGAGGGTGAGGTAGGCAGTCTGGGGTCTCGGGTTCCACAGAGAAGCTGTGTGGAAGGTGCCTTGGAGGAGGTGATGCAGGTGCGGCAGTGCCCAGTGACTCCTCTCCCCTCCCCTCTTCTCTTCCTCCGCCCGCCCCTCCCCTTCTTCCTCCCCCTCTGTCTTCCTCCCTCCTCCCTGCCCCTCCTTCCTGTCCCCTCCTCTTTCCCTTCTCCTTCCTCACTCCCGTCCCTTACCCTCCCACACTGATAGCTGCACACTGACAGCTGCTCACCCAGTCTATTCTCTGTCACACACACACACACACACACACACACACACACACACACACACACGTCAACCGCAGAGATCCCTGGGGCTGGGAATACCCACTCTAATAAAGTAGAACCAGATGCCTTCATGTCCCAGAGACAGGGTTACAGGAGAATAAAAAACAGCATGGGCAAAGGGGTAGGAGCTGGGGGAAGGGACAGGGGTGGCTGCAGTTGAGAGTGGCCCAGGAGCAAAGCCAGGAGGTGGGAGTGCCTGGCAGGTGTGAAGTCTGGGGACAGAAGGATGGAAGACAGAGAAGAGTGGTTGGGAGGTCACAGGGCCAGGCTACTGGGGCTGGAGGTCTCCGGGTGACACTAAGGCCCTCAGGCTAAGAGAAAAGCATGATTTGTTTGGCTGTCACATGTCCCCTCTGACTGGCAAGTGAAGATGAGCCTATATGTGGGGGTGACACAGAAGTGGGGAGTCAACCAAGCAAGGAGGGGTGGCCACAGGGATCCAGATCATAGCCACTGGGCTTGGAGAGCCAGAGTGGAGCAGAGGGGGTCCATCCTGGGCAGGACAAAGCCACCACCCAGCACTGGGAGTCCAGGCCTGAGTGAGGAGCTGAGCCACACTGCGGTGATGTGGAGGAAACCAGGCCGGCCTCTCCCCTCCCTATGCCTGGCAGCAACACACACCCCTCAGGCTCATTCTCTCCTGACTGGCCTGGCCCTGGCCCCAAACGCCAAACCTGATGGTGGCTCTTCTTCTTGGAGATGAAGAAATTCAGAGGAAGGAGGCCCAGGAAGACAATGATGGCAGTGAGGGCAGATGGCCCCAGGAGCTGGAGACAAAGGGCCAAGGTGATGCAAGACCCCAGGGCTCTGGTCAGAGTGGGGTCCTAACACAGGAGCGTTGGAGGCAGCCAGGGCCTGCTGAGGGCAGCCCAGGTCACCAAGGTCAGGACCTGGGGCCTGTGGAGGAGATGGCTGCTGAAGGTGGGAGGGCACCACAGTGGGATCTCAGGGCTCAGACTGCAGGCTCTGGTGCTGTGGCTGAGTGAGAGGCACCCCTGGCCCCTGCCACCTGCTAGTGCAGCCCTATGTATTTTGCCCATGCTTTGTGAGAGGTAGTTCCTGTATGTAACAGGGGAGTAGTTGTCCCCGTCACTGATACGATTATTTTTCCAATCTTTTTTTTTTTTTTTTTTTTTTTTTGCGGAACCGGGGATTGAACTCAGGCCCTTGTGCTTGCCAGGGAAGCACTTATTCCACTGAACCATCTCCCCAGCCTTATTATTCTAATCTTGAAGTTACCCTTCGGAGACTTAATGCATTAACAAATGACCATGCAAGTGTGAGCCTGTGAATGGCCTATGTCCATTGGTATTTAGGTACACACTTATACTAAAAAACTGTTGTGTTTGTCTAAAATTCATATTTAACTGGATATTGTGTGTCTTACTTAGTAACGTCCAAGAATGGCCATTTCCAGCCTGGGCTTCAGTTCCATTTCTCAGCCCTTAGCTGCTTTACCTTCTCACCTTGGAATGGACCCAGTTTGTTTCATTTATGTGGCAATGGCGCCCCCCAGTGGCTTCATGCAGAAGTGTCCAGAAGGCAAACACTTGCCCTTGGCTGGTATTGGAAAAACAGCACGGGAAAAGGCAAAACTTTCTCTCTGACAAAAATGGTGTCCTCCATCTGTAGCAACATCCATGGCTGTCCCTCCTTAGCCAGGACTGCACGGTGACACCATCTGCTGGGGGCAGCCGAGTGTGTGCACGTGCGTAGGCTACAGGCTATCTTACGGGCAGGTATCTTGCAGGCATCTGATTCTCTCCCCCACTACCTCTTTCTGCAGCACTGGGGATTAAACTCCCCAGCTCTTTTTTAAAATTTGGGCAGCGTCCCACAAAATTGCCTAGGTGAGGCTCACGTTCGCGATCCTCCTGTCTCGGCCCCCAGAGTGCTGCTTTGGCTTGAAATGTTTTAAGCACCAATATACACAAGGGGGAAAGCCACACCTGGCCTCACGTGCTGGGTCACAACCAAAACATAGCTGTACTAAACATACTGTATAAAATTACCTTCAGATCCTGCATATAAGGCCCACATAAGACAGCAATGTCGTGTTTAGGTTGGGTCCTGTCTCCAAGAGATCGCCTTTTGTACGTGCAAATTTATTTTGGAGACAAGATTTCCTTACATAGCTCAGGCTAGCCTTGAACTTAGGCAAATATTCTAACGCCAGAAAAAACCCAAAGTGTGAAACCCTTATGGGGTCTTACGCACTTTGGATTAAGGACCTTGCGCCAGTGCATCTCCCCAGCAATCCTAGGGCAACCGCAGGGCAGGGCCCGGTGCCTACTTGTGCCCTCTTTCTGGAGACAGTGAGCTGCCACAGAAAACAGTACTCCCAGCTGGTAGAGTACGAGCAGGATGTGAATGCAGGCAGTGCTGACATTGTCTGTGGTTTCCATTTTATCTATTTACTTGTGGTACTGGGATCAAACCCGGGTCCCTGCGCTTGCCAGGCAGGCACTTACACTGCCGAGCTGTCTCCTCAGCTCTGTGACCTCAATTTTTTAAAATACTAATATAACACAGCAAAAAGGAGGTTGGGAAAAGTTATGATTTTTTTGGCTCATGGTCACTTCATGCTTTTCCAACACTAGGTAATCATGTGCTTCCCATTGAAATGCTCTTTGACCTCTTTTTTGTTAATGACACTGATGCCCTTGCCTTGCTGATAACTTCAAATTGTGTTTATTCTGCCTACAGAGTACCTTGAGAACCTCCCGAGGGTACCGATGTCATGATAAATGGCACTATTTTACAGATCAGGAAAGTGAGTCCTAGAGAAGGTTGGCGCATTGCGCAAGGTCATGCCAAGGCCATGGACTTTTTGCCACATCTGCCCACCATGAGGGAGGAGGAGAAGCAGGACCACTCGGCCCACAACCGCGGCTAGGCACACACCTGCCACAGGTAGGTGAAGCAGACGCAGATCCAGAACAGCGGCAGCCAGAGCCCGTTGAGGTAGAGCACGCTGTCACTGAGCCGCTGCACGTCCACAGAGAGCAGGTTGACCACGTCTCCCACAGCAGTGGACTTCCTGGCACCCGGGGACAGAACCAGGACCTGCAGGAAAGAAGAGGGAGTGCTGAGGACGAGGGAAGGACGGCAGGTCCCTTAACGGAGCCCCGGTTCTGCACATGAGCAGCCAGCGGGCAGGATGTAAGCCAAGCTGCAAGGCCTGGAAGAGGAGGAAATGAGCTCTGAACCTGGCACATGAAGGAAGAGAAAGGTGACCAGCAAGGAGCCCCGCGTGGGTGGAGGGGTGGACACAGGGCGGTGAGGTTAGGAGCTCCCAGGGCCATGTCACCCAGGGCCTCCCAGGCCACAAAGGGGGTGACAGCCCAAGGGGCCCAGCCCCAGGAACAGTCGCCACCCCACCCCACCCCACCCCCCGCCGGGGTCATCTCCCCGCTGCAGGGCACACACGTCCAGCCCCGGCTTACCTTCCGGTACACCAGGCCGGTGAGGGCAGCACGCAGCCGCATCTGCAGCACCTTGAGCCGGAACATGTGCTGCTGTTCGAACAGCGTTTGCAGGCCGGCCGAGAGCAGCAGCAGCCCCGCGAGCAGCGAGCCCTGCCAGGCGGGGAGCTGGGGGTCGCCCATGAACTCCAGGAAGAGGCTTGAGGGACACAGAACAGCAGGTGAGCCAGGGACCAGGCGCCATCTGCGCCCAGCCAGATCGGTGCGGGACGTCCGCACTGCGCCGTGCTAGATTGCACCGTGCTCGCTTCCCGGTCTGCTCGGGGGTTCCTCAGTCACAAGGCAGGTCTCCTTCCAGGGTGACTGGCTGAATGGTGTCTGCCCCCCGCCCCTCCATGCAGAGACCCTAAGTTGGCAGTGATCTGACAGTGAGGCCAGCAGCTGGGGCCTACCCCAACCTGCCTGGGTCCTCACAAGAGCACTTTGGGACAGAAACCCTAGGGTTTCCACATGTGCAGAGAAGGGCCACAAGAGGACACAGCACATGTCAAGAAAGAACTGCCCTGCGCCCCCTCTGGGGCCTTTGTGTGCTGAGGAGGTAGCACAGAAGTGACAGCCGCTGTTTGCCCCTGAGCTCCATCACTGTCCCATCTTTTCTCCTTCACCCTTGCAGCCTGGGCGTCGCCCTCCACCCCCACCCAGCCCACCACCTTGGCCTGGGAGCAGTGCTTGGGCCTCCAGATCAGCCAGGGCCCGAGCCTGACCTACCTGAGGAGCTTGGGGACTGCGAATCTGAAGGCATCGGCGATGACAAGACTGAGGGTGCCCAAGAGGAAGGAGCAGCAGAACACTCTCCAGATGGCCTTTAGCAGCGGGCCCCGTGGGTGCCCTCCCTGCGGCAAGAGGGTCTCCAGCTCCCCAGCCACAGGGCTCTTGTGGTCTCTGCGGGTCAACACAGAGGTGCCCCTGGAGAGGGGAGGGCGGGGCTATGGGGTCTGCTTTAGCCCTCAGCAGGGGCACATGGGAAAGGTCAAGGGATCCCTCTATTCCAGAAGCACAGGGCCTGCCCCCACCCGCACCCTCATCTGCTCTTGCTCAGCAACCAGGTGACTCCCCAAGGAGCCAGTGAGTGCCCAGGGTGTCAAGCACACCAGTCAGACTAGGAACTCTGCAAGCTATTTCACAGCTGGGGAAACTGAGGCTCAGAGGGGCAAATGTGCCCAGACACAGACAGCTGAGATGAAAAGGAACTGGGACATGAGCCTAGTGTTGGGGGACACATCTGTAACCCCAGCCATCTGGGAGGCTCAGGCCACAGGATCACAACCAAGCCACTTAGCAAACATAGGGCTGGGACATAGCTTAGGATGAAGGTTGGGGTTTGAACCCCTGTGTTGAAAAAAAAAAATAAAATGATAAAAATAAAACGCACTGTCACTTGGTCTTAGGTCTCTGCCTCCAGAGCCTGCGGTGTGAGAAGAGGGCTCAGGGGACCAGGATCGAGCTCTGTTATGGGATAAAGAGCTGGGGGCGGGGTGGTGAGAAGAATGACGACGTGTCATGTCCCCGTACCAACTCTGCATTCAATGCCAGTAGTATAAATATTATGTACTATACACGTGTACTAATAAAAGAATAACAATAGGCAATGCATTACAAAACAAGCCAAACAACAAAATATCATGTGGCTCAAGCAGACCTTGGGAACTTGATTTGGCCGGCAGGTAGATGGCTTTTGATCCCGCAGGATGAGACCCTCCTCCTCTCCCCAGTGCTGCCAAATGTTTCAGAAATAAAACTTCTTGCAGGTGTAGTTAATTGGCTCAGAAATGGCTGGAATACCCTGCCTCTCCCCTTCCAGCTTGAGGCTACATGTTCTGCATCACAGGCCTGCTGCCTGCCTGCCTGCCTCCTTCTCGTCCCTCATTTGTAGGATTCAGCCACCCACAGCAGCCATCTCAAACCCCTGGGGTTTGCAAGGGCACCTTGTAACTCTCTCCAGAGCCAGTTCTGTTCCCTGAGGCCCAGCGATGTCAAGGGACTTGTGGAAAGTGCCGGCCAGTGTTGGCAGGGTAGCTTTTGGAACAGAGCCACGTTGCTGTGTTGAAGGCCACTCTCCCTCTGGCTTCTCCAAGGCATTCCCAAGGCCCAAGGTTCATGGAACTTTCTAGAGAGGCAACCAAGCCAGGGGCCAGGTGGAGTGGACAACCTGAAAGACCTTAAAAATCATCTGGCTGACTAATCTTGCTGAAGTTTCTGCCATTTATGAGGATTTTCTGTTTTCTATCAATCATCCTTCAAAAAAAAATCTCAATGAGCTATGAGCTAGAACCTAATGACCCCCACCCCCATTTTCTTTCACCATGTTGGGTATAGAACCCAGGGCTTTGCACAAGCTGGCCAATCTGCCACCATTGAACAGATAAGAAAACTGAGGTCAGGAAATAAGTTGCATAATAAGTGAGCAGTTATCTACGTGCAGTGAGTCACAGCTCAGCTCTCTGATCCATACTTGGCATGCCCTCTGCTTCCTGCCTGCTGTTCCATGTGACTCCTTCCTTCTGAGGCCTCCTAAGACTGCAGTGGTGAGCCTCCGCTGTGACATCTACTCTGGAAAGAGCTGTGTATGGAGACCCATAGGATCATGACAGACTGAGAACCACGTGCTGAGGGAGCTTTGCCAGGTGAGCCAGCCCGAGGTCTGCTCTGCCACCCCCGCTCACCTCCGGGCCTCACTTCGAGTCCTTGTCCACTCCCTCTCCAGCTGGGAAACAAGTGCTTCTGAGGTGTTTTCTGGCTCAAGGGACCAGAGGTCTTCTGGTCTCAGTGACTTCCTGTAGCCCCTCCAGAGAAGCCTGTAGAAGAGGGGCATGGGGGAAGCTCTCCTGTCATCCGCCCCTCAGGAGCCCGGCGGGTAGCTGTGAGCTTGGAAGTCTTCTCGCTGCTCTCTGCACCCCTGCTGGCCCCTGGGTGAATGAAGGGATTGACCCTGAACCCACCTGAGACCTGTAGGACCTACTTGGTTCACAGAGATGTTTCACCTAGTAGCTCATTATTGGCTCATTTTATATTGGAGGGAAAAAAAAAAACAAAAACAAAAAAACAGGCAGGAGATAGTAAGTGACTTACCCATGGGACAACTGGCCCAGCCAGGGAAACAGCCCCTCTGTGGGAGTCAGAAATCTGGGGTCCAAAACTCACGGTGGAGGAAACTCAAATTCCTCCCTTTTATAGTCCCCTGCTCCTTGGTGGCTGTCGCAGCCAGCTGGCCTCAGCGCCTTTGCATGAGCATGCCACGCTGCTCTGGGGTCTTTCCTGCCACCTGTCGCCTGGCCTTTTCTTACTCTCCCTTCACATCCGCCCCTAGACAGGGCTCCTCAGGCCCCTGCCAAGTAGGTGCCATGGTGGCTGCCCGTGGTTCCTTGGTGCATCCGTGAGAAGTTACACAGGACGGGCTTCCAGGCGGGACCACGGGCTTCCTCTTGGTCCCTCTCATCTTTCCAACACGAAGGGGAAGGGCTGTTCGGTGCCAGTCTCTGCCCCTTGCCTGTGCCAAGTGCCCTCTTCGAGCACAGAGCAAACTCAGAGAAGTGACAGATCAGGTCTGGAAATGATTAACATTGGTTTTTCTTTGAGAGTACTTTTGGAGGCCTCTTCTAGGGCAAGTGATTTGATAACTTTTTCAGGTTTGGGCAGTAATAGGAAGATTCCTTTTTTTAAAAAAGTTTATTAAAGTACATAAAAAATGAGTTGACTTAAAAGAAAAACACCACTGGGGTAGGGGTGATGGCCTGAGATGGTAAAGAACAAGAGAAACTTTGGAAGGCAGAGGGCAAGCCCTCACATGGACACTGCTGAGCAAGCTTCTGCTCTCTTCACCAATTCCACAAGTCCAGCGGCTCAGCTCTTCATTTATGTAGTGACTCTTATACGTAACGCTGTGTACCAGGCCCCCTCTTAAGTCTCACAAACCTTCTCCTCATAGCCCACATGTACAGGCTGTCCTTATTCCCATTTTACAGGTGTGGAGACTGAGGCACAGAGAGGGTAAGTAGCTTCCCCAAGGTGGAACAGCCAGGAAGTATGAGGCCAGGATTCCAACCTGTGTGGTCCCGCAATACTGAGGTCTGACTGCTATGACAGAAGGGGGCTGGGAGGGGCCCCAGTGGTGAACACCTCTTAGGTGCCTAGTGTGGGCTGGCACCAGAGAAGCTGCTGTCATCTCCATCAGCCTGGGACTCTCCAGGCAGGAAAGACTTGGTCTTTTCCAACTTCCACTTCCTACTTTAGCACATAGTAGGTGAATGACGTGAAATGGCTGAAGGCAAATAGTGAGTATTACAAAGTAACAATGGAATTTGGTACCTGCTACGTGCAAGCACTAGGCACTTTCCTTTAATGCCTGCAATCCCAGCCTTTGGGAGGCTGATGCAGGAAGATGGTTACAAGTTCAAGGCTAGCCTGGGCTACAAGGTGAGCTGAAGGCCAACCTGAACAGCATAGCAAGACCCTGTCTCAAAAAGACCCTCCAAGAAGTGAGTCATCCCCATCTTACAGATGGGAAAGCAGAGATCTGAGGTGTTTGTGACAAGGCCCACCCTGGGCAGGACCAGGACTCAAGTCCAGCTGTTACTGCATGAGTAAAGGGGATCCTGGGAGCCCAGCAGGAAGGCCTGGGCTGGGGTGGGGACACATGTGAGAAAAGTCGCCTTGCAGAGGAAGCGGCTGGAGGGGTCGGGACACATGCAACCCCCGCCCTGCATCTGCTTACCTGGAAGCCCACCAGAATGCGGCCTTGGAGGGGAAGGAGGCCCCGGCCTCTGGGCACGGGTTCTGCAAAAGACAAAAGACAGCACAGGGGAGGACTCTGGTTTCTCACTCATGGTGCGTAGCTGACTTAGGTCAGGAACACAGGGGACCTCACCCAGCAGGGACTCTGCAGGCTTAGTAGTTCCTGGTACTAGGGAAAAGGGCCCGGTCCACAGGACTGAGCACATTCACAAAGTTAACAAGGAATAAGTTTCTCCCAAGAACAGCCGCTCTTATACTAAGACCAAGATGTTCTCAAAGCAAGGACCACGCAGGCAAAAGAGGGGGAGCTCTTGGCTGTCTGTCCAAGCAGATGTTGTGCAGAGGGATCAGCCCTGTCAATTTTGTCAGCTGCTCTGGAAAGACCATATGATCTAATCTCTTCACTGACAAGGCATGAAGGTGCCCATTTCACCATATCTTTGCCATCACACCTTGCTGCCATATTTTAATTTTTTTTTTTGCCATTCTGATAGGAAGAAAAAGTCCATTTACAGTTTTAAATAGATTACTCAAACATTTGAGTTGTTCTTGTTATCATTTTTATTATTTTTTAAATGTATTTGGTATAGGGTCTCACTATGCAGCTCAGACTCCTAGTGATCCTCCTAGTGAGCCTCCCCAGCCCTGGGATTATGGGTGTATGCCACCACCACGCCTGGTCTCAGTGGCTCTTGGCATATCACAGGGTAGGGCTGGTGAGGCATGTGGTGCCATGGATCAAACCCAGGTCCTTGCACTCGCCTAAGACAGCACTTAGTCCGCTGAGCTATCTCACTGGCCCTCGTCGTTGTTTTTATTGTTGTTTTCAGTACTGGTAATTGAACCCAAGACCTTTGTACTGACCTATACCCTAGCCCTTTATAAAATTTGTGTATTTCGAGACAGGGTCTTGCTGAGTTGCCCAAGCTGGGCTCTCTTACGGTTTGTGTCTAGTTGTCCCCCCAAGGTCTCATGCAGTCATGGGCCAGACTTCTAGAGTTTGTGGTTAACTCATGAACCACTGGGATTATGGGTGTGAGTGCTACACCCAGCCTGGGGCAGACAGCCTGAATGCAACTTAAGGGAGACAGACGTGCTCTCTGCAGCCATTGTTGCCACTATGCTTCCCATTTGATCTTGCTGTTTTGCTGTTTTCTGCCACCATGAACATCTGCCCTCTGCCATGTGCCGTCTGTCTTGGAGCCAGCTGAGTATGGACTGAAACCTCCACTAACTGTGAGCTAAATAAACTTTCCTTCCTTCATTTTGGGTGTCAGGTATTTGTCCCAGCAACGAGAGAAGAGTAACTGAGACAGGCTCGAACTTGCAATCCTCCTACCTCAGCCTTGTACTGTGCTGCGATTACAGGTATATATCATCAGGCTTGGCTCATTTGAGTATTTTAAAAACAAGGTAGGTCAGTATCTTCCCTAGATAATTTGTTCCTGATTTTACAGACTACTTGAGTTACCTGGTGAAAATTCTCATTGAGCCTATATTTCTGCAGAGCACAAACCCAGGCATCGTTTCCCAGGCATCTGTGTGTTAGATGACGTCCTTAATAGCAGCTGCCCTATGTGACTGCTAAGCATGGGGACCAGAGCTGCTGCTCATTAAAGATCCTTAACATCCAGCTGAAGCACAGGGCAGGGCAGCAAACTATGTCCTCTAGACCAAACCTGGCCCACTGCTTGTTTCTATGAATAAAGTTTTATCAGCACACTGCCCTGCTCATTTGTGTGCACACTGCCTTTTGCAGCTTTTGCACTACAGAGGCAGGGTTGGGGCAGGATGGTCCTATGGCTCCTAACGCCTAGATTTTCTATCTTACCCTAAACAGAAAGCCAAACACTGGCAAGGAATCAATGTACAAATTCGCATTTTGCTGAATGGCTAGGTGAATAAAAAATAAAAAGCCTATGGCCCAGTTCAGCTTGCTCTGGTCACATCCAGAGACAGATGCAGGAACAAAGAGGGCCCTGGGTTGGGACCTGGTGACTCACAGCCAGCTGGGGGTCTTTTCGGAAGAAGGGAGGCTGATCCACCAGGCAAGACAGCACAAACTCAGCCACGACCAGAGACAAACACAAGTAAGTGGACAGGTGGCACAGGGGGTCGCTCTGGAAGTCCTGCAGGAGAGAAAGCAGAAGCCTCAGTGAGTCTGAAGCTGTGGGGAGGAGAGGCAGCAGACGGCGCCCTCAGTGGAGGAAGGTAGAGGCTGGACAGGGTCGCCATGCCAGGGGCAGCATCCAGACGGGGACCAGGGCCGCGGGGCTGGGGTGATGAAACTCAAGGATGCTTGGACTTTCTCTTTTGCCTAAAGGAGATCACCTCTCCATCTCTGCCCCCCTCCTGACCTCCTGTCCGACTCCCTCGAGGCACCTCTGGTTGACAGAGAAGGGCGCTGGTTTTACTGTGCCTCTATTCTACCTCAGCACACACAGTGTTCTCCCCAGGCTCTTTCCCACCCCGACCGCAAGGGTTACCTTGCGGCATTTCACTCCTGGGGAAATCACAGCTCAGAGAAGCCACAGCACTGGCTCTGGGGCACGCGGCCTGTCTGATTCAAGTGGGAGCTTGCGCTGCCATGTGCCGTGACAGCCTCATGTTCCTGTCCCCTCTTCTGGTCACAGCACCCAATATCCTCTCCCTTCTGCTTAGGCATGTGGTTTGGGCAGACCTGACTGCACCCCTGGGTGACCAGCAGACTGACACCTGGTGGCGAGCACCTTCCAGCCACTGGAATCATTAGGAAGGGACAGTGAGAGCTGGATCCGCACGGACAACCCCAGGGCTGCTGCAGCAGAACCGGGGCCTGGAGCTGCTGGAGGTCCTTCTTGCAACCCCAGGGAGCGCGCAGCCAAGGGACAGGGAGAGGCTATGTGGAGGTATTCTCCAAGTGCCCAGGTCCATTGCGCCAAGGAGAGCCCATAGGGGTGAGCTACTGCAGTCACACACTGATGCTATTCCTCTGATTCCTTTCCTTTAAGCTAATGTGAGTTGAACTTGCATGCTTAAAATAAAAGCCCTCATTTCAAACCAGAATTTCAGAATAACCTGTACATTCTTCTGGATTGTTCTTTTAACAGACAGCAGGAAGTCAGTGCCCCACATTGCCCACCGTACCATTTTGATCACTATTTTGATATTGGAAGGCTTGTTCTGAATACAGGTGAGATCAGCGTGGCCTCTGTGCTCTGGACATGTGTGATCCTAAAGGAGTCACGCCTTTCACCCAGCCTCTGTCCTCATCCACAGTGAGTCCATAGTGGAGCTTGATGGCACATGCCTGTGATCCCAGCACTGGGGAGGCGCAGGCATGAGGATTTCTGAGAGTTGGGGTCAGCCAAGGCTACACGGTATGTTCAAAGCCAGCCTAAATTACATAGCAAAACTCTGTCTCCAAAAGACCCAAAAAGAAATAATAATAATAATAATAATAATAATAATAATAATAAATGGGACTGGTAGACTTTACAGCAGAGCATAAATGTGACTCAGTGAGAATGTGTGTGTGAGTGCTTGCTGCAGTATGGGCCAGGGCGGGACTCCCTGCCATTTCTGCACTGTGCTCCCAGCAGCCCAGCTAGAAGTCAACCATGAGACCCATCCTTTATAACCTAGTGGGTAGCACATGGGGTTTCCAGTATCCTCATTAATTAAAACCGGTTGCTCTTTTTAAAAATCTGTCCCTAGGGCTGGTGAGATGGCTCAGTGGTCTAAAGCACCTTCTTAGAACAAGCATAGCAAAGCACAGGGACCGCGGTTCAATCCCCCAGCACCACATGCCAGCCAGCCCCACCCCCTGGTGGGCTGAGCTGGCCACACACACACACACACACACACATACATAAATAAATAAAATTAAAAAAATAAAAACCTGTCCCTGTGAGTATATCTTCAAGTAACGTCATGTAACTCAGTAGTGTCCCAAATTTTCTGATCAAGGAAATTATGGGGCCAAAGAGGAAAGTGATCGATGATGTAGAGTGTGCCTAAGGAGAGTCACATGGAGAGAAAACATTCTCTCAGGCTTTCACAGAGAGCATGTTGGCCAAGCAATGGACATGACTCATCAAATGGCTGACACTGACAAAGGATCTACAATCTGAGGTACAGGATCTCAGGATAAATCCTGAGGGGATTTCACTGACCTTATCAGACCCAAAAGCTACAACTCTTGTTGCATAGGTCTGGCTTTATCTTGGTCTTAACCATCCAGCAGAAAAGTATAAAAACGAAGTATAAGAAGTAAAGCCATGCTGTTATGTTGAGCTGTAGGGGACTCAGGTCAACAATTTCTGACATTGCCAGTCAAGCAGAACACCCAATGCTATTATGGACTACTGGACTCTTTTAGAATATTTTGCTGAGTTAACACACCTATAATATTCAAATGATGGAACTAAACAAAAAAGGAGATACAGATGAATGTCCATTTTGTATCTGTGTATTCAAAGTGGTTAGGATAGATATATAGTTACATTCTCTTAATGAAAAGAGGGATTTGTTCTAATAGAGTTTGTAAATAGGATATCATGTCTGCATCTTGTACAGCAATTAACCACTAAGAAGAATGTATGCAATGTGTTAATTATTGAAACTGTCCTACCAATTTGGTTTGAAAATGTCTCATCGCTATTTGTTTATCAATAAAATTATGGAAGAAAAAAAATGTGGAAAATCAAAAAATAAAAAATAAAAATCTGTCCTTGGGCTGGGGTGTGGCTCAGTGGTAAAACACTTGCACAGCATGTTCCAGGTCCAGGGTGCCAACTGCAGCACCACAAAAAAAGTACAAGGACAGGATGTTATTTTTCTGTTGCTCCATTTAGGAGCAGGGCAGAGTAACTACCGGGCATGAGAAATGATGGTCTGCAGCCTGCTGCAGTGGGATCACTGGTGTCCAGGTGGCTTCTCCTACCCAGGGCAAGTGACTCTCAACAGGGGCATGGTGCCTCTGGAGGATGTGCGGTGACAGCTGGAGACACCCTGGGCTCTACCATGTAAGAAGGGGCTGTGAAATTGGTACCCAGCAGGTAGAAGTAGGAGCACTGCTCTGCACCTCACACAGAGAAGGACCACCTGGGAGGGGAGATGGGGGTGAGAGTGTGTCCAGCCATGATGTCACCAAGCTGAGCCTGTGAACACCTAGTCTAGGAGGCCATAGCCCTGTGATCAAGGGCTTGCCTACATCCACCCAGGCCTGCATTCATTCTCCAGAACTGCTAAGGGACCAACAACCATAAAATCTGGCTCAGACAATATTTTTTTTTCTCTTTGCAAATAAAATGATCCGTTATGTCTCCTGATATGGAACTGCTGCTTCCCAAATCTGAAAACTGTAATAGAAGTGGCTGTGTGAAATGTGTGTATAAATACAGATGCGGGGAATGCAGGGGAGGACACCCAAGTGAGGCGGGGGACACGTGTGTGTAAGAAAGAGCGATGTGCATGTGCCCGGTGGTATGCATGCGCCGGCCTGTGCTTGTGCAAGGCATGAATGGGGCAGTGTGTACGCAGCCTGCAAATGGAGCATGTGATGTGGGTGTGTAAGAAAATGGGAACTGGTGTTGCTAAAGGTCTGGGCGACAGGATGGACGAACTTGGAGATGATTATATTAAGTGAAGTAAACTGGGCATGGAAAGACAAATGCCGTGTGAGCTTACTCATGTGTGGAGAGGGAAGAAGTTGAACGCAGGGTGGGCATTGCCAAGGGCTGAAGAGGGCACAGGAGGAAGCAGAGGGCAAGAGCCGTCAGGAGGTACAGTTAGGAGGAGCACCCACTGGCATGAACAGTAGTGTCCTGAATATTCCAACTTGGGAAAGGGCTGCATGCACTCACCAACTAGAAATGATGAGGGCGTGAGGCAACACAAGCGCTAAGTACCTGCTCTGACTACTACACAATGTACATAGGCACCAAAGCAGCAGCTGAGGAGGAAGGTCATAACTTTGAGGCCACCTTAAGCAACTTAGAAAAACCATGGCTGGAATTTGAAAGGGTTGGGGATGTAGCTCAGTGGTAAAGCACTTGTCTAGCATATGTGAGAGCCCGGGTTCAGTCCCTGTCCTGTGAGAGAGAAAACCCAAAACAGTCACACAGTGCCCCACCACTATCTACAATTATTATGAGTCATTTTAAAACAAAACAACTGGATGAGCTCATGGACACTCTGAGGGGAGGATGTGCTTGCGTGTCTTCACGTGCTGGGCTGCATGGCTCCACAGAGAGTACAACTCCTGTGTGGAAAGTCCAGGAAAAAGAAAGGGACCCTGGTTTCCTCGTTTCCCCAGGTGGTCCTGGGCTCCACTTACCCCACTCAAGGCCTGCTGGACAGTGCTGGCAGCTGGGAAGAGACAACAGAGCAGCCAGTACCCAAATAGTACCCCGGATGCCTGGATGCCCTTCTTCCTCTCCACGTGGACCAGGAACATGGCCAAGCTCTGGGCAAGAAAGTCCAGGAGAGCCTGAGAAGGTGGGGAGGGGCACACAGGGAAGGCTCCATGTGTCCCGTGCTCCCCACCCATGCTGGCGCAGCAGCAGCCAGGTCCTTTCGAAGAGGTCATTACCATGGTGGTGAGCCACACTGTAGGATGAATAAGAACGTTCGGGGCCTGGGGCTTCCCCTGCTGGATTCTCCACAGAGGGACAACCACATTGAAGATGCACAGGAGGATGAGGGCAAAGCCAAGCACCTGGGGAAACAGCTCAGATAAGGCCATGGGTAACTTTGGACGGTGGCGGCAAATTGGAAGTGACCTCAGATCCAGTTGGGTGGCGGTTCTGCAGAATCTGCAGTGGGGCCCGTAAGGAAGCCACACTGGGAGCTCTCAATGTGTCAGCTCGAAGAGTGCAGCAGGGACACTGCAGACCAATCCCGACTGCACAGCAGGTGACTACAGTGCCATAAGAAGAACGCAGGACGGGACGGTACAAGGTGGCTCAGGAAGGAATGAACTTTGAAGAATATTACTGTACCAGCTTGGAGGACAAGATGAATGAGCAGAGAGGCTTGCAGCCAGAAAGCCAGTGTTTATCAAACACACTAAAATAAACACAGAACAATTTTAAAACTTGTTCTGTAGATTTGCCAGGCGGAGCAACACAAAATTAAATGCATAGCTGGGGGGAACTATAACTCAGTGGTAACAGTGTATGCTTCACATTCACAAACCCCTGGGTTTTATCCCTGATCCCAAAAATAAAGTAACATAAAATAAATTAAAATTTAAAAAGGCCATCCTAATGTGGCCCTAAAAAGACCTTGTGCACCCCAAAAGTACCCATGGTACAGTGGAAAATGGCAGGTTATGTGTGACTGTTTCTATGTGTATGGATTTTCATAATTACGAAATCTGCCCATGGGAACTTTGTTCCGCTTGGCTTATCTCTGTCTCCTCTTCAGTATTGATCTGTGTGATGAGCAGGTTCTCCTCTTGTCACTACCCTGGGCATTCCCCGGTAGGCGGAACATTCATTTGGGCATCTCTGCCAGGCTCCAGTTTGCCCTCTCCCCACTGTCTGGCTCCAGCCTCCCAGAGGCAATGGCTACCATTTTGGCTTTGAAGAGGGGGGACATCCGGAGGTAGCCCCGGCCATGGCGGTGGATGTAGAGGAGGTAGAAGGGGCCAAGCACCCAGAGGTACAGAGGGGGCACCCAAGCCCCTGCCGCTTTCAGGAAGCAAAGGCTCAGCTGGTGGAAAGCAGCAGGTTCTGGCTCCGTCTGGTTCCATGTCTGAAAAGACAGCAGGTGGGGAGGAGCTTAGATTGGTATAACACTGGAGTCCCAGTCTGACCCGTCCAGAGGGTCAGGCAGCATTCTGAACTCCTAATATTTACATACACATGTTCCAAACCCTTTCTGGAGCACCTTTTAATTCCCAACTCTTTTCATCCTAACATCATCAGCTCTACAAGCTAGACACAACCCTCCTACTGATTTAGCAGACAAGGAAGCTGAGACCCAGAGGGGCTCTGTAACTTGGCTGGTGCTTTCCAGGGGGCAGTGGTGGGGCTGGGATCTGAACCCAGGGAGTTGGGTCCTGGATTGGAGGGAACCTGGGCCCCATAATGCGTCCTTGGCACAGACCGTACCTCTGGGGAACAGTCCTAGGAAACAGGGAGCACTGTTTCCATACCACAGACCAGGTAAACTGCTTCCTCCCAGCCCACACAAACAGGAACGCTCCTCTCAGGAACACAACGGCCCCAAAGCGGGTCTCATGGAGTCTTGATCCGTGACTTTTTAAAATCCCATCCTGGGGATTGAACCCAGGACCTTCACAGTGAAACAACGAGATGCACTTCCTACCCGTTCAAACAGTTTTAAAATTTGGAGACAGGGCCTCCCTAAGATGCCCAAGGTGGAGGACCTGGCGATCCTCCTGCCCCACCTCCCAGAGCACTAGGTCACAGACAGCACCACCGCACCCAGCTTTAGGTGTGATGTTTATCTGGACCCTTGTGCTGGCCCCCTCTTATGGACAAGAAATCAGTGAAGTTTAGAGTCCTCTGCCCCTCCCCTCAGGGCCTGTCTCTAGTTCTAGCTTCTCCACTCACCACTCGGGGCCTCAGTTTCCTTTCCCGTCAATGGGGATAGAACATTTTCTCCAAGAGTGATGTTGGGTGGGTTAGGATTGAAGCGCGCAGCACAGCACAGGCGGAGGGCCAACATCAGTCTGATTACTTGAGGGTCCGGTGGGGGGCGCCACCCCACCGACTCCACTCTCCACAGCGCTTTGCTGGGACTGGATCCGGGCCACTGGAGGAAGCCAGGGAGTCAGGGGCTCCAGCAGATCGGAAGGCGCTCCTTGGGGGTGGGACGAGTTTGGGCACGGTCCACCAGGTTTTTGTTGGGAAGGGCCAAAGCCCCTAAGCTGGGAGGTCCCAGGACCTTTGAAAAGTCCTGGGCTTTGCACGGATGTTCGGACTGTACATGCATAAGGGGCCCACAGTTTGGGGTCTCTCTACACCCCAGGTTTGCAGGCCGAGCTGTCTACGACTGCCCTAGCGGTTGAGCTCGGGCAAGGGACGGAACTCACCCCTGGGCCGGCACAGGGCTCGCCCAGCGCGGACATCGGCTCCTTGCGGTCGGTCCCGGCGGCGTCCCGTGTCCGTCTGTCCCCTCAGCCTAGCCACCGTGCTCTCCCGGGCAAGGGGCGGACTCGGGAGGGGCTGGAGCTCAGACCTGCCAGGCCCGGGGCAAAGGTCTGACTGCGCTACGGGGGAGGGACGGCCCCGGGAAGAACGAGGGTAAGTGGATGGGAGGCCCAGGCCCGCACCCGGGGAGGCGATTGTTGAGGCGATTGTGGATCGTTGAACCCCCGAAGGTGCAGCGACACCCCACACTCCCCAGCACCCAACAACAAGTTCCATCCCAAATGCCCCAAGCCCTTTAGATCCAGCAATGCCTAAAGTTTATCCTAGTGGAAGAAACGACAGATGTAAACGTGGTTGTCATTGGCGATGTGGCCACAGCCAAAGAGAATAACCATAGGGTGGGTATGAGTGCCGGAAACACAGTACATGCTAAATAAGTTAGGTATTATTTTTATTTCTCAGACAAGGAGGGGTCTTGGTATGTTGCCCAAACTAGCCTCAAACTCTAGGCTCACAGAATCCTCCCAGCTCATCCTTCGTTACTGTTAGTGTCTTACTAATCACTAGTTTAAAATGCCAATGCAGAAATATATTAATATGCCAGGTGATTGCTAGTGTGAAAAGAGATGATCGTACAAAATAGGATATGGTGATTTGGAAAAAATACAAGAGAAGGATGTGTCTAAATTGGGGAAAATGGAAAACAAAGTAATTTTCTTTCCTGGGGGGGGGTGAGGATTAAACCCTGGGTTTTCACACTGAGCTAAATCTGAGCCCTTTTAAAATTTTGAAACAGAATCTGGTTAAATTGCTGGGGCTGAGCTCAAATTTGCTATCCTCCAGCCTCAGCCTTCCAGAACACTGGAACACTGGTGGGGAAAGCTGGGGGACAGGCACAGAACAGTAAGGGCCTTGGTGAGGTTTCTGGCAACCCCTGACAGGAAAGAGTTAAACCTCTGCCAGACAGCAGTTAAGAGAATTAGGGAGAACTGATAGGCTGTGGGCTCCAGTTGCCAGGGACCCAATTCTGTTGCCAGGGCCTTAGTTCATGCTTGTGCACCTCCAGTTAACTACAGAGGAGATAAAGTGGAAAGGGGCTCAATTATAGAGAGCCCACTTAGTATCTCTAGTAACATATGTACTCATACCTGGACACTCATGCACCTACATACAAATGCATATATATCTTTACTAACTGCTAATGTAGCCTTGAATATACAGTTCTCAAAGCTGTCACCTGACAGCACAAAGATTAAAGAGAGCTTACCCAAGAATTTGCAGGTAGGCAGGGGAAAGGGCCAGATCAGGCTCTCAGAGCTCAAAATAGACAAGCAAGTTGTAACAACTCTCAGAGGGTTCAGACCCTTTTTTACCATATAGTAAAAGAGGCTAAGAAAAAAACCCTGAGCAGGCTGCCAGCTAGATAGCTCAGAGGACAATTTCGGCAGAGCGCAGTGGCCACCGCAGTTCCATTACCACCTGCCGTGCCAGCCCTGCCCCCTGGGCATGCTGAGACAGCGACTGAGACTGGGTACAGTGGCACACCTGTAACCCCAGCACTTGGGAGACTGAAGACAGGAGAATCAGTACAGGTCCAATCTACGTAGTGAGACCCTGTACACCCTATAACCCCGTCCTAAATTTATTAAACAAACAAACAAAGAACAAACCCTGAGCACTGGCTCCCAGCTCCTTACCTTATTCTGATAAGATAACTCTCTCTTTATTTTTCTTCTTTTTAAAAAGCTTTTTAAAATTATAATTTTATTTTGAAGAGTAAAAACAAGAGCAAGAAAAAAACAAAAACAAAGACAGAAACTGGGTAACATAATGCATACATTACAGATTTTCAAAATAAGAATAGCTGATTAACAATGATATATTATCTATTTATGTCATCAGATCTGTTGCTCAGATCTCTCCTCTTTCTAATGAAGTGATTTTGTTTGTCTTTGTGAACTTATATACCTAAACTTACCTCTTTTTTTTTTTTTTTTTTTTACTGCTGTCAAATTTATGAACCCTAGATAAAATCTGCCCACACCAGATGCAACACTGGGGTAAGGCAAGTACCACCATGCTTGATTGGTCCTGAGTTTTAAAGCAAGATGTATGGCTTGTGGCCAAGTTCAAAGCTACTGGTTCTTTTCAGAAAAGACTCCATGAATTGTTACAACATATGTGTTAATAAAAAAATGGGAATTCACTAATGTGGGAATCATGGGGATACTACTTTTCTTTCTTTTTTGGGGGGAGGGGCAACAAATGTGTTATGAGAAAAACTTAACTCTTTCTAGCAGACAGGCCTTGGCATTCTGCAGGAGTGAATAATAAAATCCTGCTCTGTCTGCCTTGCTTCTGTAGGGGCAGGCAGTCATAGGCAGAAGCAAAGGATAAAATAGTATCTCATTAAACTTTAATAAAGAAGTTAATAGGAAATCTAAAGACAGCTTTTGTCTTTTTTTTTTTAATTTTATTTATTTATTTATTTGAGAGAGAGAGAGAGAGAGAGAGAGAGAGAGAGAGAGAGAGAGAGAGAGAGGCCAGCTCAGCCCACCAGGGGGCGGGCTGGCTGGCATGTGGTGCTGGGGATTGAACTTTGGTCCCTGCAGTTGCCTAAGCTTTTCTAAGTAGGTGCTTTAGACCACTGAGCCATCTCTCCAGCCCCAGCTTTTGTCTTTGCTGCTAGACTCCAGCAATGAGAAGGACAAAGGTAGAGAGAGAAACCAAACCTGGGATGGCACCATGTAACAACATTAAGAATTAGTGAGAAGGGTCCACAGGCAAAACTGGAATATAACCAGGAACATAAAAGTTCAGGTTACCCAGTGCCCCTGTGAAAACAAAAAAAGGGAACAGCCACATAGGAACTCTTATTTAATATATAAAACACATGCCCTCTTTACTTAATCATTAACGTATCCCATATAATTGACGGTTAATTCTTACTTTTCTTTAAGCTCCCGTCCACCCATCACAAATGGACTGGACAAAATCTAAGGACCAAGGGGCTGGGGAGATGGCTCAGTAGAATAAGTGCTTGTCTGGCAAGTCCAAGGACCTGAGTTCAATCCGCAGTTCCGCAAAGAAAAAAAAAAATCTAAGGACCTGAAAAAGTGTTGATAGAGGTGCTCAGGGGAGGAGCAAAGACAGCTAGGGAACCGCTCTGAGGATGACAACTTCCAGATGTCCATGTGGGGGCGGGAGAAATCACTAGTCCTAAATAAAAAGGAACTAAAGACAGAAATCCACAGGTGTTTACTTCTGATGCTCCCCACTCTTCCAGAATAGCTATCTTTTCCCCATCTTTTTTCCAAATAAATTGGCTTCTTTTATTTTAAACTCAGCCTCTCTAATTCATGACTGAACCTGAGAATTTATGATCGCAGCAGAATCTGAGTAGCTGCAGGTTGCAGCAGACAGTGGCATGGCATGGCAGGGTGTACAGCCCTCCTAGATGTGACATTACTTTAAATCTCATCCTCCTCAGTCCTCAGCCTCACCTCTCACAGAGCCTCTATAGCATTGGTTCGCTGAGACCTGCCCTCCACTCCTTTTTGGTACTGGGGATTGAACTCAGTGCCTTAGCACTGGGTTACCCATCCACCCTCAGGCTTCTGATCCCAACCCCTTGAACTTCTGTTCAAGTTGCCCAGCTGGAATTTGAACTTACGATCCTTCCCACTTGGCTTGCCCATCTTTTTGAGTCTCTCCAGTCTAGTGTGGGGTCTTGGCGCCCTTCAGCTGTCCTCTTGCCCACATCTTTTGGAAGAGGAGACTCACAATCAGGGTCTGTCTTGAAGCTGAGTGTGGCAGGTCTACCATTTACACGGACATTTTATTTTGCTAATTTGAGGTCGTTTTGGTGGAGCAATAGAAATTATGGGGAAAGTAGAACCCTTCTCTTTCTACAAGCCACTCCCAAAGCCCACTGACATTACCACCACCCTCTTGGGTTTTTATTTCTTGGCATGGTTGAACATGAATTTCAGGCAGTGGTCCAAAAATCAGAAGAATATAGAGGAAATCAACTGAGGTGAGCAAAACACAGGACTTCGGGATCCAGGTCCCTACTTTCTAGCTCTTAGAACAGCCAATGGCTATATGTGAAGAGTTCTAGATGAGCCCTTTTCCTCTCTCTGGTCTCTGCTTCCCATTACATAAAATGAGAAGCTATTACAGACTGCAATGTTCCAACTGGACCTGATTCTCCCAGCCCCAACCTGATGGCCAGCAGAAGCACTGTTCTCTGCAGGAAACTCAGCTCAGCACCTGAGACTGTTATCAGCAAGCACAGGATGTTGTGGAGGACATAGGATAGGACAAGGAATTTTGTAGGTCTTGGGGACATACGGAGATGCCTGAAAATTTACACTGGACACCCAGAGATCTTTGACCATAGATGCTTACTGGGATCTTCCCACCTAATGTCCCCTGCCGCCTCCTCTTCTCCCTACAAAAGGTACACACTGCTCTTTATTCAGGGCAGATGCTTTTTTCCCACTCTCTGCCTGCGTGCATCCAGGCACAAGCCTGGTGGTCTCTGCTGGTTCCTTCTTCCCTCCCCCCAGATGTTACGTATGTTATACAAAGCACCATGGATTATCATGGTTTACACCCCCGATGATGCTATAAGACAATCCAGGGGTTCATGTTTAGAAGGACAAAAGTCATGTTGCAATTATGGTCATAAAGAACAAGCTCCAGTGAATATACTATGTAAAACATTTCTCTGCATGACACTAATTGAGAGCGTGCTGTATTTGGAAGAGGGAAGCATGGCCGGCAAAATCTTCACAGGGGTATCAAAAGAATGACAGTTGACCACGGGGCCACGATCACGAATGTGGCTGACTTCTGTTTCTTCCCATTTTACAATATGGATACTTTGATTAACAAATTATTGTTTTTTCTAGTTGTGATTTTGTTTTGTTTTTTCTTTTCTTTCTTTTTTTTTTTGTCGGAACCAGGAATTGAACTCGGGGCCTTGTGCTTGCCAGGGAAGCGCTTAACCTACTGAGCATCTCCCTGGC